CGCCAGCATGTCCCCGTTGCGGACAGGCTCGCCGCGGCTCCCGGCAGCGGATGCCGCAGCTCGGTGATTCATGCAGCGAGAGGCTGGGGAGCGTGGAAAGCCGGACACCGCCTCTGCAGAGCTGCTAACTCTGGAAACGGGTCTGGAAAATTATATGTTAGCCATGCTGCTGTGATAAGCTTTTTCAACTATTTTTCTGGTCGCGTGAGCTGGCTTTTAAATGGCAACATACTTCTTCCCTGCTGGACCGGAAACCTGGCTCAAGCTGGCTTTTCCCTTGTACCAGAACACAGGTAACCTGGTAGCTCACTCGCTTTAAATACTCATTTTAGAAGGCCAGCTTCAGCAAGTAGCTTATCACCAAGGCCAGCAAGAGACTCTGCGTGCATCTCTCTCGGGTGTATTTGCAAAGCTCCGCAACAACGGGAGCTTTCGGGGATGTCTTAGACCTGTTTATTCCCTGGATCACTACGAGCTGCCCAGGAGCCCATGCAAGGCAAGAGCCCTGTTTTAGCTACACCCTGCCTGAGGGTAGAGGAAAGTTAGACCGTGCCGCTTTGCACACTGGGGAAACTGAGGCAGAACAAGGTTAAAGCAGCAGCTGGAGTTTGCAAACATTCAACATTTATTCTATCTGCTCACCCCACGCTGCGACAACCCTCCCTGCTTCGTACCCTGCCTGGCTGCCTTCGGGAACGGTGCCACGAAACACGCGGCACAGGAACCGCGCAGGGCGCTGGGAGCAGGAGGCGCCGACGGGCTCCGGCGGGCGCAGAGCTGCATTTGGGGCCCCAGGGTGCCGCACGGCCTTGCCCAGCCCAGCCGGCCTTGAGGCCCTCCCTCACCAGATGCTAACCTCCACCGGCCTCCACGGCTTTGCAGTGTTTCATTAAAGCTAAGCTGCGACGTAACTCAGTGGAGCAGGGAAGCCCACATGAAGAGTTGGCAGCGACGACTCCAGCTTTTCAGGCCTCCTTCCAAGAGCAGACAGGTGTCACTCACAGCATCGCCTTCCCGGCTCCTTAACCACCGCGCAAAATTGCTTGATAGTTGCTTCTCCTCCCCTCCGGCTGCTCAAGAAAGCAGCGGCTAGCTGGGCAGCTGCCCAACGCCAGCAGACGGCTGGATGCCTTGCTGCTGAGACGAAGCACGTGCAGGCGTTGCAGGGGGAAGATACCTGGAGCAAACACCCACAAGGTTAATTCTGCCTAAAAGCAGCACCCCAAGGGGAACAGGAACCAGCAAGGGCTTCCAGTCTGCTCAGAGCAGCAGACAGACAGCTGTAGCTTTGCAAACAGCAAGACAGCGGGGTCACTCTCCGTCCCTGGGGGGCCCCGGCCACCCCTCCGTCCTCACTCAGCCCCTCTGCTCCCTGTCATCGGCCTCCCAGCGCCACCTAACGACACGCTGACTGGCAATAAGGACCTTCACGGGGAAGCTGGATACATCCCAGTCCCAGGAGAGAGGGACGGAGAGTGCCAGATAGAGAAGGGGAGACAAGAGGGAGCAGGACACAGAGCTGGCGCTTGGCATGCAGGCAGCGGAGGAAGGGGGAGCTGAAGGTATCCGAAAAGGATTTACATAATCATAATGATCCTTCTCCTTTGCCCATGAGGCTTAGTCCTCCATACTTGCCTTTTCATGACCTTGATGGTCCTATGGCTTTCCCAGAGCAGGACGTTAACCCCAGGGCTTCAGCCAAGCTCTAGGCTGAGCAAGGATATTGGACTCAGCAAAGAAAAATGCTCCCTTCCATCTGTTGTCACATCCCAAAAACTACCCTGAAGCACCACCGGTTCGGGAACAGCTACTTGCCATCCTTGGAGCAAGCGCCGTGACCTGTATCACAGCTACAAAAGCACCTCGACACCGACGTTCAAGGCGGTGCGGAAGAAAACCCTGCGGAAGAGCTGGCCCATCACTTCCCGTTACCTGCAGATTTGAGGCCGCCTCAACAAACCCTTTGGCAGGCATCACGTTTCTGGCTGAGCTATCCACCAAAACACCTGCTCCCTGCCCTGCACCGACCACAACCCCCTCACCTCCACACCCTGTTTCCCCAGTGCTTATTTGCCTCCAAATCCAGAGCTGATGTAATCTCCTGCTCGAGAGTTCAGCATTAGGGCTGCATCAGCCCTGAGACGTAATGAGAGCCACATCACACAAGCAGCTGTTCGACAAAAGCTTTATTGCTCGTTTGCGTATGAGTTCCCAGTATCACATTTCCTGAGTTTCTTAATGAGCTTGCAAATGAGATTTAAATAGAAAAGGAAGGGTGGGGGGGAGGAAAAAAAAATGAGAGAGGGAGAAGCCACTGATCTCCCCTGCCCAAGCTTGGACTAGAGACAGCGTGTAATCCAGTCTGGAAGTGCCTGGCAGCCTGCGCCCCATGGGTGAGCACTCCACTGCAGGAAGGGGCTGGGCAGAGATCACAGGTTAGCAGGGAATCAGAGACAACCCCCCTCCAGTCCCTTGGCTTGGTTTACCCTCAGCCTCCATCACCAGGCCTAAACACAGCCACAAGCAACACCCATCATCACCATTTACACAGGTCAGAGACGGGAGCCGTTCCACGGAGCCGTTCCAATCCTGCGGTGCTCGCTGAGCTCCCGAAGCGATTGCTGCGGGTCTGGGAGAACGCGGGTGGCAGGACTGCAAGGGGAGGGTCCATGCCCATGGATAAAGAGGAGATTACAGCTCATGGTTTGTAATCTGGCTTAAAACCTGACACCGTCACCACGGTCAATTTGGGCTAAGAGGAGTATTTAATAAGCTTCAAAACAAACAGACCAAAAAAAAGTGAAGGAAGTGAAAGGAACTGAGGCATTACGTGCACGAGTCAGGGCTGGCAGGTAGCAGCATACACAGGATCCTTCATGATCCAGAATAAGGCAATTACATGCTTTTTATCCCAGGGCACCCTGCCAGCTAGGACCCAAGCTCTCCTTGGGTTTTGATTGTGGGAGGCAGAAAGCAAATTAATGCCCTTGTCTGTTTGTTTGGAGCTCGCAACGGGCAGAAAGCAAACACTCCCTCCCTGCACAAGAGGAGCTGGCTTGCCTTGGGACACACTACACAAGACACACAGCACTCAGCTGGCTGCTTCAAAGATTAAGACAGTCACGACAAAGAAGCCAAACTCAAGTGGCAGCTCCAGTTGAGCTTTTCTGGAAGGGTTTATTTAAAAACAATTATTATTTTAAAACGTTTGCTCAGAGCCCAGGCACGAGCAACAAGGCAAGGAAGCCACTTGGCTTGAGGCTTAAAGGGGAGGTAGCACAAGACACAAGAACGTTTTGCTATGCTGCTTGTCATGGGGAATGTCTCCGGCCAAGACTCCTGTGACGTGTGAATCTCCCTTCACCTGCTCCAGCTAATAAGCTAATGCCCAAAGGGCTCAAATGACAACAAGAATCACCTCCAGGAGCTGGCTGCAGAGGCGTGGGGCCAGCCAGCAGCCTCAGATGTTTTTACACGCTCACTTTGGGAATCCAGAGTCCATTACAGCTTGTTACTAGAGAGCCTCAAACGTCATGCACCTTCCCGAACTGGCCATCAGTTCCAGGTGCCGGCCCCGCTCTCCCGAGCCCTGCCCGTACCTGCTGATGCTGCCCCAGGAGGGCACCGGGTGGATCAGTGCCACATTCACATCACTGGTGCTTTAGTGACCGATGAGCTGCAGCATCTCCTCAGGATCCACTATCTTCTCCCGGGGTTTGCCAGCAGCTTTTCCTCTCGTCACTTCGGCAGCATCTATCTTCTCCCAGTCCGAGAAGGAAACAGGACGGACTCCTGGGGTGACGGTGAGAGATGGAAGGGAGACGTTAACCAAGTAAGAACGAGTTCAGCCTCACCTTCCCGTTAGCAGGGACCTCGTGTGCAAAGCAAACCCTGGCCTTTTCCGACACAGTGTCAGATTTCAGCATCACATAGGAATAATCATTTCTACCACCGCGAGGAGAGAGATTGCGGGTTCCAGTCAAATCTGATTAGTCAGACCTTTGCAAGCCATAACAACAGTGAGTATAGCACCACCTTAGGGGACAAAACGCTTCCAGTTCACTGTTAAATCTCGGACAGTTAAGAGGCAAACACACACTTTAATTGAATATCTTTAAGCACAGCAACAGCAAATGACTCTCTTGGGCATTTTAATCTTTCCCT